ATATTAAAGGGCTACGCCCTCTGCCGCCGACCCCTGGACACTGGAGGGTCATGCCTGCCTCTGTGTCGTAAGCATGAAATGAACCCTAAAGAAACCAGAAACTGACCTAAACAAACCATTTGTATGTGCGTTTGGCACTGTGCACATGCAAGCAGCATGGACCCCTGCAGGATGACACGCACAACTATGTGCTCTGACACTTTTTCATGGCTCAAGAAATAGGAGCTTTCGTCATTGGCCAGGTGTCTTGGGGACCTAAAGGGTTGCTCTAGCATCTAGCACTTAAGACCCATACCCGAAGCCCCCGTTCGTAACCGCAGTATGAAACTTTAAATGGCATCCTAAAGAGACCCGAGACGACACTGCACTGCCAACTGCCACCCTGCTCGTGTCCTCCTGGAGCCGGCTTTCGTTCTGCACCGCTTCGGTCCAAGCTGGAGTGCAAGGACCGTGTCGCAGGGCTAAAACACCATGGCAGTGAAGGACGGATTGGGCCCGCGGCCCGTATCCCAGACTGCCAAACGTCACTTTCTGAACCGACTAGAAACTAGCTCCAAACCTTGACTTTTCCTGCGTTTCTGCACTGCCAACTGCCACCCTGCTCGTGTCCTCCTGGAGCCGGCTTTCGTTCTGCACCGCTTCGTTCCAAGCTGGAGTCCAAGGACCGTGTCGCAGGGCTAAAACACCATGGCAGTGAAGGACGGATTGGGCCCGCGGCCTGTATCCCAGACTGCCAAACGTCACTTTCTGAACCGACTAGAAACTAGCTCCAAACCTTGACTTTTCCTGCGTTTCTGCACTGCCAACTGCCACCCTGTCGTGTCCTCCTGGAGGCGGCTTTCGTTCTGCACCGCTTCGGTCCAAGCTGGAGTCCAAGGACCGTGTCGCATGGCTAAAACACCACGGCAGTGAAGGATGGATTGGGCCCGCGGCCCGTATCCCAGACTGCCGTCACTTTCTGAACCGACTAGAAACTAGCTCCAAACCTTGACTTTTCCTGCGTTTCTGCACTGCCAACTGCCACCCTGCTCGTGTCCTCCTGGAGCCGGCTTTCGTTCTGCACCGCTTCGGTCTAAGCTGGAGTCCAAGGACCGTGTCGCAGGGCTAAAACACCATGGCAGTGAAGGACGGATTAGGCCCGCGGCCCGTATCCCAGACTGCCAAACGTCACTTTCTGAACCGATTAGAAACTAGCTCCAAACCTTGACTTTACCTGCGTTTCTGCACTGCCAACTGCCACCCTGCTCGTGTCCTCCTGGAGCCGGCTTTCGTTCTGCACCGCTTCGGTCCAAGCTGGAGTCCAAGGACCGTGTCGTAGGGCTAAAACACCATGGCAGTGAAGGACGGATTGGGCCCGTGGCCTGTATCCCAGACTGCCAAACGTCACTTTCTGAACCGACTAGAAACTAGCTCCAAACCTTGACTTTTCCTGCGTTTCTGCACTGCCAACTGCCACCCTGATCGTGTCCTCCTGGAGCCGGCTTTTGTTCTGCGGCTCCAGAGTCCAAACCTTGACTTTACCTGCGTTTCTGCACTGCCACCCTGCTCGTGTCCTCCTGGAGCCGGCTTTCGTTCTGCACCGCTTCGGTCTAAGCTGGAGTCCAAGGACCGTGTCGCAGGGCTAAAACACCATGGTATAGTGAAGGACGGATTAGGCCCGCGGCCCGTATCCCAGACTGCCAAACGTCACTTTCTGAACCGACTAGAAACTATAGCTCCAAACCTTGCCTTTTCCTGCGTTTCTGCACTGCCAACTGCCACCCTGCTCGTGTCCTCCTGGAGCCGGCTTTCGTTCTGCACCGCTTCGGTCCAAGCTGGAGTCCAAGGACCGTGTCGCAGGGCTAAAACACCATAGCAGTGAAGGACCCCAGACTGCCAAACGTCACTTTCTGAACCGACTAGAAACTAGCTCCAAACCTTGACTTTTCCTGCGTTTCTGCACTGCCAACTGCCACCCTGCTCGTGTCCTCCTGGAGCCGGCTTTCGTTCTGCACCGCTTCGATCCAAGCTGGAGTCCAAGGACCGTGTCGCAGGGCTTTAAAACACCATGGCAGTGAAGGACGGATTGGGCCCGCGGCCCGTATCCCAGACTGCCAAACGTCACTTTCTGAACCGACTAGAAACTAGCTCCAAACCTTGACTTTTCCTGCGTTTCTGCATTGCCAACTGCCACCCTGCTCGTGTCCTCCTGGAACCGGCTTTCGTTCTGCGGCCCGTAGCCCAGAGTGCCAAACGTTACTTTCTGAACCGACTAGAAACTAGCTCCAAACCTTGACTTTACCTGCGTTTCTGCACTGCCAACTGCCACCCTGCTCGTGTCCTCCTGGCGCCGGCTTTCGTTCTGCACCGCTTCGGTCCAAGCTGGAGTCCAAGGACCGTGTCGCAGGGCTAAACCACCATGGCAGTGAAGGACGGATTGGGCCCGCGGCCCGTATCCCCGACTGCCAAACGTCACTTTCTGAACCGACTAGAAACTAGCTCCAAACCTTGACTTCCTGCGTTTCTGCACTGCCAACTGCCACCCTGCTCGTGTCCTCCTGGAGCCGGCCTTCGTTCTGCACCGCTTCGGTCCAAGCTGGAGTCCAAGGACCGTGTCGCAGGGCTAAAACACCATGGCAGAGAAGGACGGATTGGGCCCGCGGCCCGTATCCTAGACTGCCAAACGTCACTTTCTGAACCGACTAGAAACTAGCTCCAAACCTTGACTTTTCCTGCGTTTCTGCACTGCCACCTGCCACCCTGCTCGTGTCCTCCTGGAGCCGGCCTTCGTTCTGCACCGCTTCGGTCCAAGCTGGAGTCCAAGGACCGTGTCGCAGGGCTAAAACACCATGGCAGAGAAGCACGGATTGGGCCCGCGGCCCGTATCCCAGACTGCCAAACGTCACTTTCTGAACCGACTAGAAACTAGCTCCAAACCTTGACTTTTCCTGCGTTTCTGCATTGCCAACTGCCACCCTGCTCGTGTCCTCCTGGAGCCGGCCTTCGTTCTGCACCGCTTCGGTCCAAGCTGGAGTCCAAGGACCGTGTCGCAGGGCTAAAACACCATGGCAGTGAAGGACGGATTGGGCCCGCGGCCCGTATCCTAGACTGCCAAACGTCACTTTCTGAACCGACTAGAAACTAGCTCCAAACCTTGACTTTTCCTACGTTTCTGCACTGCCAACTGCCACCCTTCTCGTGTCCTCCTGGAGCCGGCTTTCGTTCTGCGGCTCCAAACCTTGACTTTACCTGCGTTTCTGCACTGCCAACTGCCACCCTGCTCGTGTCCTCCTGGCGCCGGCTTTCGTTCTGCACCGCTTCGGTCTAAGCTGGAGTCCAAGGACCGTGTCGCAGGGCTAAAACACCATGGCAGTGAAGGACGGATTAGGCCCGCGGCCCGTATCCCAGACTGCCAAACGTCACTTTCTGAACCGACTAGGAACTAGCTCCAAACCTTGACTTTTCCTGCGTTTCTGCACTGCCAACTGCCACCCTGCTCCTGTCCTCCTGGAGCCGGCGGCTTTCGTTCTGCACCGCTTCGGTGCAAGCTGGAGTCCAAGGACCGTGTCGCAGGGCTAAAACACCATGGCAGTGAAGGACGGATTGGGCCCGCGGCCCGTATCCCAGACTGCCGTCACTTTCTGAACCGACTAGGAACTAGCTCCAAACCTTGACTTTTCCTGCGTTTCTGCACTGCCAACTGCCACCCTGCTCGTGTCCTCCTGGAGCCGGCTTTCGTTCTGCACCGCTTCGGTCCAAGCTGGAGTCCAAGGACCGTGTCGCAGGGCTAAAACACCATGGCAATGAAGGACCCCAGACTGCCAAATGTTGAACGACTAGAAACTAGCTCCAAACCTTGACTTTTCCTGCGTTTCTGCACTGCCAACTGCCACCCTGCTCGTGTCCTCCTGGAGCCGGCTTTCGTTCTGCACCGCTTCGGTCCAAGCAGGAGTCCAAGGACCGTGTCGCAGGGCTAAAACACCATGGCAGTGAAGGACGGATTGGGCCCGCGGCCCGTATCCCAGACTGCCAAACGTCACTTTCTGAACCGACTAGAAACTAGCTCCAAACCTTGACTTTTCCTGCGCTTCTGCATTGCCAACTGCCACCCTGCTCGTGTCCTCCTGGAGCCGGCTTTCGTTCTGCACCGCTTCGGTCCAAGCTGGAGTCCAAGGACCGTGTCGCAGGGCTAAAACACAATGGCAGTGAAGGACGGATTGGGCCCGCGGCCCGTATCCTAGACTGCCAAACGTCACTTTCCGAACCGACTAGAAACTAGCTCCAAACCTTGACTTTTCCTGCGTTTCTGCACTGCCAACTGCCCCCCTGCTCGTGTCCTCCTGGAGCCGGCTTTCGTTCTGCGGCTCCAAACCTTGACTTTACCTGCGTTTCTGCACTGCCAACTGCCACCCTGCTCTGTCCTCCTGGAGCTGGCTTTCGTTCTGCACAGCTTCGGTCTAAGCTGGAGTCCAAGGACCCTGTCGCAGGGCTAAAACACCATGGCAGTGAAGGACGGATTGGGCCCGCGGCCCGTAGCCCAGACTGCCAAACGTTACTTTCTGAACCGATTAAAACTAGCTCCAAACCTTGACTTTAGCTCCGTTTCTGCACTGCCAACTGCCACCCTGCTCGTGTCCTCCTGGAGCTGGCTTTCGTTCTGCACAGCTTCGGTCCAAGCTGGAGTCCAAGGACCCTGTCGCAGGGCTAAAACACCATGGCAGTGAAGGACGGATTGGGTCTGCGGCCCGTAGCCCAGGGTGCAGACTGCCAAACGTTACTTTCTGAACCGACTAAAACTAGCTCCAAACCTTGACTTTACCCCCGTTTCTGCACTGCCAACTGCCACCCTGCTCGTGTCCTCCTGGAGCTGGCTTTCGTTCTGCACAGCTCCGGTCCAGGCCGGGGTCCAAGGACCCTGTCGCAAGGCTAAAACACCATGGCAGTGAAGGACGGATTAGCCCAGACTGCCAAACTTTACTTTCTGAACCGACTTGAAACGATAGCTTCAAACCTTGACTTTGTTTGCCTACGTTTCTGCACTGCCAACTGCCACCCTGCTCGTGTCCTCCTGGAGCTGACTTTCGTTCTGCACAGCTCCGGTCCAAGCTGGAGTCCAAGGACCGTGTCGCAGGGCTAAAACACCATGGCAGTGAAGGACGGATTGGGCCCGCGGCCCGTATCCCAGACTGCCAAACGTCACTTTCTAAACCGACTAGAAACTAGCTCCAAACCTTGACTTTTCCTGCGTTTCTGCACTGCCAACTGCCACCCTGCTCGTGTCCTCCTGGAGCCGGCCTTCGTTCTGCACCGCTTCGGTCCAAGCTGGAGTCCAAGGACCGTGTCGCAGGGCTAAAACACCATGGCAGAAAAGCACGGATTGGGCCCGCGGCCCGTATCCCAGACTGCCAAACGTCACTTTCTGAACCGACTAGAAACTAGCTCCAAACCTTGACTTTTCCTGCGTTTCTGCATTGCCAACTGCCACCCTGCTCGTGTCCTCCTGGAGCCGGCTTTCGTTCTGCGCCGCTTCGGCCCAAGCTGGAGTCCAAGGACCGTGTCGCAGGGCTAAAACACCATGGCAGTGAAGGACGGATTGGGCCCGCGGCCCGTATCCCAGACTGCCAAACGTCACTTTCTGAGCCGACTAGAAACTAGCTCCAAACCTTGACTTTTCCCGCGTTTCTACATTGCCAACTGCCACCCTGCTCGTGTCCTTCTGGAGCCGGCTTTCGTTCTGCACAAACTCTTCGCCCCTTCTGGCATCTTGTTGCTAGTAAGGCCTCCTCTGACGCGCTCCCCCTGCTGACGGCAGGGGTCGGCGGATATATATATATATATTAAAAATATAACTGTATAATATATATATATATAAATAATATCCACTTACATGTGTGGTATACATGTATCTTTTCATTCTTTCATATTTCATTAATGTGCTCATGCGTTCATTCAAACGTTCGTTCATACATTTCTTCAAATTTGTGTTTGTTTATACCATGCGCATCCATACGCATGCATCGTTTGACTGAGTTGTTTGGATTTGTCAGAATGGACGAGGGCAACACATATTTAATGACCACAGTCAGGGATTTTTCGTCGCCGTCCTGGTCACCGATTCGGTGCTTGCCTCGTGGACCAAGGACAACGATCGATGTGGCGTCGATTTCTTCGTTCCCTGGCTCGCGAAGGCCTGAATCAAGTGGATCATACCTTAAACCAACCCAGCCAAGGTTCGGTGGCTTGCCCATGATGCCGATGATTATAAACTATAGACCACAGTAAACCATTTATTGTTGAAAATCCCACGTGTTGCGAATGTGTGGAAACTACTGCGCCAGGTTCCAGTTGTCAGCCACGTGCTGGACATGCTGGGGTTCTTGTCTATGAATGCATCGTGTTGACCTCAAAGATTGCAATCCAGCTGTTCCATTTGTGGATGAACATGTTATTCTTATCTTCACTGGGATGATGCCTGGGATGAAGGATGTGTTTTCCTGTTTTTTCTCCTTTCTTTGAGACTCTTTTTGGACATGTTCAATGTTCACTACAGAAGGGCTTGAGTCAGAATGGTTCCTGCGGCATCCTGCGGCCGCATATGTTGGTCAATCTGAATCTTTGGATTTTGGTGTGAACCATGGCATTCCAGGGCACCAAAGTATATTGATATATATATATATATTTTTAATATATAATATGTATATATACATATGTGTAATATGTATATATACAATATGTATATATACAATATATGTATATATATACTGTATAGAACTGATGTTGATTGCTAAAATCAGTGTTTGCATCGGGTTCACAGCTGGGGTCACCAAGGTGGACACTGGTAGGATTGCAGAACTTGCTTCATTCCAAAGAGCGAAGTGCCTTGGCTTTTTGTCCAAGCGGGTCCAGGAAGGCCTCTGAGAAACTTGTCAAACATGAAGGTTTCTGGTGCACTTGATTGCATTTGTTTGCGCTTGTGTTTTGTGGCTGAGTTCCAAGCTAAGTTCCACCTTGATGCCTTCCACTAATATGATCCTTCCAACTTTCGCCAAAGGCTGGTCTTGATCCAAGGTGAATGGACCAACAGCGCCGAAGGACCAAAGTTGTCCATCATGGAAATTTTGACATCGGAAGATGCTTGGAGTGAAATCAGCTAAGAGACTTGCTGGCTACTTCCCACATGTCTTTCCAGCTTCCAGCAGTGGCTTGTCGTTTCAAACGTGTTTCTTTTCCATGTTCTATCATTTTCTAACCTGCAACTGCGACAAGATACCTCGCCGGAGTCATCAGAAATCATCAGAGTATATCAGAGTCACCAAAACTTCAGGATGGGCAGGACTGCTTGAGGGTGACTTTGGAATACATCTTTGGTGCCGAAAGCATTTTCCTGACGGCGTCTGTGGCGTTGGCCAGTGAAAGCTGCCCGGTGGCGCATTTGCCCAGCCTGCCGCGGGTGGGGCTGCGCATGGTGCTGCCCAGCAGCTTTTCCAAAATGACCTGGCTAGGCCAAGGGGCATTTTGGGGGCGAAGGGGGCTACTGGAGGCTGTGGAAGATGGACTATTGCCAAACTCGCCCAAACTCAGATGGATAGTGATGGAGATTTTTATATTTTAACATATTTTAATATTTTTAATATGGGTTCAAGAATGGTCAAAGTATCTTGAAGATTGATGGAGATTGGATGGTTTGAAGCCAATAGTTGACCAGAGTTTGCAATGAACACCTGTCATTTGGAACGATGATTGCTGTGTGGTACCGGATGCGTTTGAGCAGGCTGTGGCCCAGGGGAGACTTATCCAGACAGAAAGGCAGCGGGTGACTGGAGCATTCATTGCAAGGATGCTCGGACGAAGAGGTTTTACAAAGATTGTTTGTAAGATACTGGAAGGTTGAATCGGTCGAATCTGGTGAATCTGTCATCCCATTCTCTGGACCCATTTTGCCGTGGCTTTCCTAGAGTTGGATGAGGGGAATATTTGATAGGCCGCCAATGAATCAGTTGCAGAAAAAAATGTAGCGTCTTTTCTGTAACACAAATGAACCGATGAGGATTGGATTCAAAACTAGTGAAAAGAAGGGACGTTGAACATATTTGAACATCTTCAATCAGCTGCAATTGATATTGCAACATATCATACGTGTTGATTTTGCTTCGTTTTTATGCTGCGTTTGAATACTTTTGACCTTTCCCTGCGTTTTACATTTTTTGCCAAGAAAGAACTCCTCTTCCCAACGGCGGACAGAAGAAACCTGAAGCCAGATGACTCAATTTTTATTCAATTTTAGTAACCCAAATTTCATGAAATTTCTAAGGGCCAAGCATGTTAAAGCACGGCAATCTTGCGGACGTTGGGTTCCAGACGTCCCAGCTATGCACTTAGCATCTCCAAAAATGTGGTGTCAGGATGTGGATGACCTGGGCGTGGACTACATCGTGCCCAGCGAAAATGGTGGTAGAGCGGATGTCCATTGGGCCGCCTTTACCGCCACGACGGGTGATGGTTTGCTTTTCCAGTACCTCTGCCCGGACGCAGCTGCATCACTAGATGATCCAAAGGATGGTGCAGCTGAGCAACGGCCCAGAAACATGCAAGGGGCACAAGTGTCCGCCTCGAGGTTGAGCTTAGAGGAGCTGGAAAATACATCTCATCGGCATTTGCTTCCAAAGGTGAACGAATCCAGACCCGTTCATGTTCATTTAGATACGGCCCATGCGGGTGTTGGAGGAGTTGGTGAAGGAGGATCAAAACTCTGGGCCACTGCCACGCAATTTCTCATCAATCCCAAATGCGGGCCCTGGAACTTCAGTGTGATTCTCACCCCGATCGATTCAGAGACGTGGCTACATCATGCCACTCCAGCAGGCGCCTGAAAAAGTGTCCGACTTTTTCGGTGCAGTATGGTGTAGCGCAAAACTATCGTTCTTAGAACTGATCCATCAATAGTTTCTATTCGAAAAATTATGGTTCTACTGATTCTACTACTGCCCACCACCCATTACACCAACAAACATTGTCTTTGAGAGCCTTCAATGCCCATGAGCTTGGCCATCTAAGTCACTGCATGGATGCTTGGTCGAAGTATAGTGGTCCGCACCTCAAACAGCATACAGAGTTGGTCTGAAGGCGATGGAGAGAGAGAGAGAGAGCTGTTAGAAATTGGCAACTTCAAACTTTTAGTTTCTACCAGATGGAAGCCATCCGGTCCTTGGTTGAATGGAAATCCTTTGAAGATTTCCACTTGATCCGGTGTGTCTCTGTGGGCCATTTGTTGCCTCTGTGCTCTTTTGATTCCATGGCACAAGGTGCTCCCAAAGAGAGAGCAGCACGCAGAAGTAGCGTTTGGGTGCCCAAGTCCAAGCAATTGGGAAGGACCACCAAACCATGACAAGCCCTTCTTCCATTTTGTTCCTCCGCTATGTTGGCAAAGATTTTACTAGCACATGATTTAGCATCTTTTGTGCATGTTCATGACCAGTTTGGAGAAGCACATTACCAAAATCAAAGCCATTCAATGGAGCGGTCCTGGTTTAAGCGGTTGCAGGAAACCATGGCTCACCATGAAATATAGGGCTTTTAATTTTTGGATTTTCCTCGAGCCAGTTATGGGACTAGCTGGTTCGTGGTTTTATCCCCCCTAAGGATGATAGTACTATATACCAGCCCTCCAAGAAGATAGGCCCGCAACGTAACGGTCACATACAGTCACTAATTATTTGAGAGTTTTTAGTAGGACTGCTTTTCCATGTCTGGTTGGTGGTTTGGAACATTTTTATTTTTCCATATATATATAGGGAATGATAATACCAACTGACTAACATTTTCAGAGGGTTGAAACCACCAACCAGATGTTTTTTTTTGGGATGGTTACAGGAAAGACTTGGGATCACCCTAGGCACATCAGCAGTTAAGGCCAGATCGCAGGGTCGAGAGATCAGTCGCTGGCTCAGATATGGATGTATCGTATGTGTGGTTTTCATTCTTTTCTGTACAATTATATATCCGTATAGCAACATACAAACAATTGCGAAATTAACTTAAATGAATAAAATAATATAAACGATGATTATATATGTACATAATTTCGTGGCTACACACACATGTATAATATATTAACGAACACATGCATATATTATATTATATATACATATAATATTCGCATATCATTGTGCATCTACATTTGCACCTTATAGAGCCATTCAGGCGAAGGCTCTGGTGGAGATACAGCTGGAGATACAGCCTCTGGCTCCTGATCTGGGCCGTAGGGCCGTAGCCTCAGGGTCCAAAAAAAAGGTCATTTACCCTTCAAAAATGTTTTTTTTTCTCTGGGAACATATCGTAAAATGATGATAAACCATGGGATGGACCGCGGTGCTTTTTTTCTGACACGCCATGGCACACCTATATTAATCACGGAAACAGATGTGAGTCAAATTTGAAGACCTCCGCAGATGGGTCGTTTTCTTTGACCCAAGTTTATGACGTATATCCCAATCTTCGCTAAGGAAACCAGGCAGCATTGATGCATTTACGGTGTCATGATTCATAAGGTCTTCCAGTGGTCAGTTGAGGACGAAAGATTGGTATGTGGATGAGTGTTTCACAGCAATCTCAAGGATCATTGTATGTTCTCAGCCCGAGCTTCACTGTGGCTTCACGGTTTTGTCTGTTTTTTGGCGCTTTAAACCTTGAAGACACCTGGGCGATCCACTCCTTGTCATTGGAAGCTCTTGGTCGTTGCAAGGCGTGCCATACCGCTGCTCATTTCACGAGATGAGTTGCTTCGTATTTCCTTTGCCCAACCGTGTGCAAAAAGACTTTGGCCCGTTGGAAAGCAGCAGGGCAGAACCGTATGCTTCTGTGTCAGACCTTTTGGGCGTGTTTAAAAATAAGGGACTCAAAATATCCATCGTTTGATGTTTGTGAAAAACCGATGGGTTTGCAGGTAAACTCTTTATGTTTGGGCACTTTGGGACAAACGATGAAAAACCGAAAGCACCCTACGCTTTAGTTGTTGTGCATTTGAATCATGTGGACTTGGCGTGTTTGCCTTTAATATATTTGGGTCAGCTTTCTGGGAACATGTGAAGAAAGAGCCGAGGGGCATTTAGGCACTGGTAGAAGTGAGTATGGCATGAACATGTTTGCTACTTGTGTGCAGTGGAACAGGCTGTGCTGTCAGCAGAATGTACTGGTTATTTATGGTTATTTGCTGTCCTGGCGAGCTGCAAATGCAAGGGTGGTCACGATAGTTGTAGATGTGTGATGTTCGTCACCTTTCGGTTGGAAGCTGTGTGATGAGAGGGTTGCAGGCAACCATTGTCCAAAGATTTTCTGAAAGCATGATTGGTTGGCCCTTTCGAAGACACAAACAAGTCCCAATTGCAGGGAACGACTGCAAGTCCAATTTGATTTGATTGGTTCTGTGCCACCACAGATGCCAGAAGCTACTCGCACCAGAAACTTGAAATTTATTGAACAGCAAAGTGCAGGGTCTTGACTTTGCGACATCCACGATGCGCATTCTTTGCAGTGCACAACATTTGTTTGGTCGTAAAGCTTCAAGAGAATGTCCAACTTCATCAACTTCAACTCCTTCGATGTCAAGAAGGCTGGCTCACTCTGGTGTCAACATGTGTCAACCAGATCCTCCCAGATGTGATGTGCCAAAGTAACCACTGCTGTATCTTGAGAATCCGAGTGTTCGACCTTAAACAAAGAAGTGGGTGAAGGACAACCAACAGATGACATAGTAAATGTTGATAGAGATTGATAGAGTGTGCTTCAAGTTCTTGTGTGACATCATATCAAGCCGAATCAAGCCCATGCAGAAATCGTAGAGGTTCGCAGTGGTGTCTCACTTGACGCCCCTCTCAGCCTGGTTATATCATACATATACATATAACGGTATACATATACTGTATCTGTACAGCTGTTCAGTTCGCCACATCAGGTCATCAGGTGTTCAAAAAACAATTTTAAAGCCCATTGGGGAGTCCTTAGCTTCTGATGAGTTGTGTCGCCATTCAGCAGGCGTTGAAGCGAAAAAAGGGGCAGATCTCCTCCGATTCAGATTCAGAACAGCAGGCAGGCCTTTACAATTTCGAGCGTCAAACGGTGATGCAAAAAATATCGAGAACTATTGGTGTTTCCATATTTGCCCACCCCTTCCAATCTCCAGGCTTTCCAAACAGGTGGAAAAAGGTGTGCGGAACCAAGCCCTGAGGCTGCTGCCAAGGCCAAGGCCAAGGCAGCTGCCAAGGCGAAAGCAGAGAAGAAGGAGGCTTTGGGGTGTGTCAAATTTTGTCCAAAAATGGGGCATACATGGGCATACCGGTACACCACAAAATTGCAACTAAAATGGGAGATCATGATCCCACGGATATAATATATACGGATATCGGGGTACTCCATTTTCAGACAAAACTATGTATTTTGATGTATTTTTAAATGTGGGATTCAAACAATACGATTATTATATATTATATGGGGATATGAAGGGACATAAGATGAATATAAGCGGAATGTCTGGGTTTGTCCAGAGATTGGGGATAACGTTCGTTCCCAAAATATTGTAGCCTACGTTATTTATTTTCACGATACTTTGAATCAAGCGTGAAACTTTACGGTGATAACTTCATGTTCAAACAACACTAACACTCAGATGTCCTTTTCCTACCGTTTGATGATTTGTTTAATGAATTGGTAGAGAGGATGAGGCGATTAAAAACTGGTGCGAAAGCATACCAATGACTTCCCGGAAATGGTTGGTACAAACCATCCCTACTTCGAGCTTTATGGCACTGGGCTTTCCAGATTAATGTTGATTAGTGTGAGGGCCCCCCCCCCCGTAAACAATTTTTGGAGTCTCTTTAATGTGGAAATTTTCAAGTTCAGGGGTCTGAATAATTTGTGATCAAAAAAAATGTAGATTTCAATTGATTTCAACTGATTTTCAATTGATTTCAATTTACTGTCAACTGATTTTAATTTACTTTCAATTGATTTCAATTTACGTTCAATTGATTTTCAATTGATTTCAATTTACTGTCAACTGATTTTAATTTACTTTCAATTGATTTCAATTTACGTTCAATTGATTTTCAATTGATTGCAATTTGCTTTCAATTGATTTCAATTTACTTTCAATTGATTTTCAATTGATTTCAATTTACTTTCAATTGATTTCAATTTACTTTCAATTGATTTCAATTTACTTTCAATTAATTTTCAATTTATTTCAATTTACTTTCAATTGATTTTCAATCAATTTCAATTTACTTTCAATTGATTTCAATTTACTTTCAATTGATTTTAATTTACTTTCAATTGATGTTCAATTTTTTCAATTTACTTTCAGTTGATTTCAATTTACTTTCAATAGATTTAATTTTATTTTCAATTTACGTTCAATTGATTTTCAATCAATTTCAATTTACTTTCAATTGGTTTCAATTTACTTTCAATTGATTTAATTTTATTTTCAATTTACGTTCAATTGATTTTCAATCAATTTCAATTTACTTTCAATTGGTTTCAATTTACTTTCAATTGATTTTAATTTACTTTCAATCGATGTTCAATTTTTTCAATTTATTTTCAGTTGATTTCAATTGACTTTCCATTGATTTCAATTTACGTTCAATTGATTTTCAATTAATGTCAACTTACTTTCGATGGATTTTCGTTTGATTTCAATTTAGTTTGAATTTATTTTCCATTGCTTTCAACTTACTCTCCATTGACATCCCATAGTAATCCCATAGAAATATCATAGAAATATCATGGAACTGCCATAGGAATCTCACAGAAATCCCATAAGAATCTCATAGAATTCCTTCAGGAATCCCATAGTAATCCCATAGAAATATCATAAAAACATCATGGAACTCGCATAGGAATGCCATAGGAATCCCATAGGAATCCCATAGGGATCCCAAAGAAATCCCATAGAAACATCATAGAAATACCATAGAAATATCACAGGAACCCAATGGGAATCCCATAAGAATACCATTGAATTCTCATAGCATCCCTTCAGAAATCCCATAGAAATCCTCTAGAAATATCATAGAACCATCATGGAAATCCCATAGGAATCCAATGGAAATCCCATAGACATCCTTTTGAAACCCCATAGAAATCCCATAGAAATACGATTGACACCCCGTAGAAATCCCATAGTAGTCCCAGAGAAATATCATAGACATACCATGGGAACCCCACAGGAACCCAATAGAAATCCCATAGAAATATCATAGAACCACCATAGAAATTCCAAAGAAACCTCATGGAAATCCCACAGAATTCCCCAAGAAATACTCTAGAAATATCATGGAAGTACCATAGAAATCCTTTTTAAATCCCATAGGAATCTCATAGAAATTTCATAGGAATCAATTAGAAATATGATAGAAATATCATGGAAATCCCATAGGAATCCCGCAGAAATCCCATAGAAAGATCATAGATATAACATGGAAATAGCATAGACACCACAAAGAAATCCCATAAGAATCTAATAGAATTCCTTCAGGAATCCCATAGTAATCCCATAGAAATATCATAGAAATCCAATAGAAATTTCATGGAAACCCCACAGAAATCACAGAGAACTCCCATAGAAAAATCATAGACATACCATAGAGATCCCATAGAAATCTGATAGAAATCCAACGGAAATCCCATAGGCATCCCTCTGAAACCCCAGAGAAATTCCAAAGAACAACCATGGACATCCCATAGAAATCCCATAGTAATCCTATAGAAATATCATGGAAATACCATGGAAACCTTAAGGAATCCAATAGAAATCCCATAGAAATATCATAGAACCACCATAGAAATTCCAAAGAAACTTCATGGACACCCCATAGAATTCCCAAAGAAACCCTCTTGAAATATCATAGAAATCTGTTTTAAATCCCATAGTAATCTCATAGAAATATCATGGAAGTCCAAAAGAAATAGCATGTACATCCCAAAGAAATCCCATAGAAATACCACAAACACCATAGGAATCGAAAGGAAATCCCATAGACATCCTTTTGAACCCCCATAGGAATCCCACAGAACTACCATAGACACACCTTTAGAACCACCATAGAATATCATAGAAACACCATAGAAATTACATAGAATTTCCATAGAAATTTTGTCAAAATCCGATAGAAACGCCATAGAAACCAAGGAGAGGATGCCAGGAGAATTGAACTAAGTAAGAGACAAAAGCTATAGCAAAGGAAAGGAAAAGGAAAGGAGAGAATGATTTTGGAAGATTCTTACTTCCAAAAAAAACTGGACACAATAGAGGACCACCACAACAAACATACTATTGAGGATCAGGGTTGCGCATGGACTACCCCCTTGAAAAATTGTTTGGATGTTGTTTCTTATTGGGTTTTAATAAGGCATCATATATTTTGGAAATTGGGATAAATTGGGCATTTCTGAGAATTCCAAAAGAATGGAGCTAAGGAAGTAAAAAAGGGAAAAGTATTAGCAACGGAAAGGAAAAGGAAAGGAGAGAATGATTTTGGAAAAAAAATGCTTCCAAAAAGAGGCTGGACATGGACACAATAGAGGACCACCACAACAAACATACTATTGAGGATCAGGGTTGCTCATGGACTACCCCCTTGAAAAATTGTTTGGATGCTGTTTGTTTATTGGGTTTTAATAAGGCATCCCATATAATCAATTAATTATTGCTGATGGGTCCTAATTAACCTTAAAAAATTGTTTCTTCAGACAACAGCTGGACACAATAGAGGACCACCACAACAAACATATTATTTAGGATCAATATTGCTCATGAAAAAAAACTGAAAAATTGAAATAAACAATTCTTCAGACAATAGTTGGACACAATAGAGGACCACCACAACAAACGTATTATTTAGAATCAATATTGCTCATGAAAAAAAACTGAACAAATGAAATATTTTTTTTTAAAAAAATAATAATGTTACAACATGAAAAATGAAAAAACATGAAAATCATACACTTTTTTTTCTACAAAACCGACCCACCCAATCATTTTCCCTGATCCTGAATTATTTCAGAAAAAAATCAACAAAAGCAAATCACCACACTAATCAGTACTTGTATAACAAATTACCATGGATGAAGCCTCAATGAAGCAAACCTGGCAGTGGGAAATTGCAATGGACATCCCCAATTGCCTACTGGGAACATCATGTATCGCCAAGGAACATAGCAGGGCACCAAACATCCGTAATCACCTAGATCCCCCAAATCATCATCTATCCATATCTGGTAAAAGTCCATGATGTCCCGGTTTTCCCAGGGGTTTTCCCGTGGATGCGCCAGATTCCCGTGGAGCCGCTGCAGCACCTGGCTGTCAGCGCCGCGGAGCTGCCCGGCGCCGCGCTGGTGGCGCGGTTCCTGAGCTGCGCCCGGGCGGAGTGGCAGCAGCTGAAGGCGAAGGCCGAGACCTTGGAGCTGCAGGCGGGGATGGTGGGGGTTGGGGGTTGGGGATGGGGGGAGTTTTTTTTGATGGGAACAATATGGAACAATGGAACAATGAGTAAAAATGGGATTAGACAATTAGACTAGACCCTGGAAAATACTGGAAAAAAGGGATTGGACTGGAGAAAATTGGATTTTACTGGAGATGAGATGGGGTATTCTGTATTCTTGAAATGGGGGATCCAAAACTATGGGGAATAGGTCGAATTTTGGATGATTTGGGGGCATCACCTAATTTAGGAAAGTTGCATACGATGGGAAAAACGGGATCTCTACTGGAAAAATAAAATGAACTTTATTGGAGATGGGATGGGAAGAAACATCAAAAATCTGGATTTCACCTGGTAAAACATGGAGAGAAAGTGGGGATATTAGCTAACAATCTTGATTTTTGTGCATATATGATAATGGTACGATTACATGATACTGTACATTTTTAAATGATATTTATTGGATGCAGTATCGCTTTGATATTAGCAGCATTTACTTATATACCTATATGCCCTACATGATTCAACTGCATCTATTCAAAAAATGGCAATGGGAAAAAAAGCAATAGTGACAAAAAAATACAGATTTGGATCATTTTTAAATATTTTTAATATCAAGAAGAATTCAGAGTTTCCCAAGTCGGTCCAATACCAAAATGATCGATATGGTTAAATAAGAGAAGCTAGGAATAGATGAATTGGCATTGGGCATGATGATTTCGTACTATTCATATATTACAGTTTTTCCAAAAATCAGGAAGCCATGAAAAACCGCCGTTCATCCTGGGGTTTACCGCATTGTGATGGATGTGCCTGCGTTCGGAGTGGACTGATGGAATTCGGATTAATCTGAGGGTTCTTTGGGGAAGATCTTCAAATACCATCAAATACCTAACATAAATGCTTCGGGGGATGGATTTGGCTTGTGTTTAATAGGGTGATTGGATTAGTTCATTCATATACCCATTACTATGCCCATTAATGAATATCCCATTCATATCCTATTACCCTCTGGTAAATTAAGATAGCCATGGACAACTGCACGTTTATAGATGATTTACCTATTGGACATGGTGATTTCCATAGGTATGTAACAAATTACTAGATGGTAGTATCACCATGTATCACCAATATTGAGTGATATTTATAAGGCTATTAGTATCACCGTTAATAATTAATATATCAATATCCAATGAATGTTCCACTATGTTCCACCCATATCCCATTTTTGTACAACATCCCATCCCATTTTTGTATCCCCTATCACCATTAATAATGATCAGTTCGATTAAAAAAACAAATCATATCAATGAATCACCACAAACCACCATCATTTCCATTAATTGTCGTTAATACATCGCCATTAATAATGAGAATTATCCCATGAATAAATCAATACTCATGGTCAAGCACCATTGATGGTTCATAATTCCCACTAATAGATCATATCCCTGTATGGTCCCATGAATATCATATTAGTCTCCCCTATCACCATTAAGAACGATAATTCCCATTACTAAAGTAAACACATAATATCATATCCCATGAATGGAAATTGATATATGATACTGTACCGAAGAATTACCAAAAAGTATACAAAGGATTCATGGTGAATAATGATCGTATCCCATTAAATACAATTAATATCCCATGAAATAATTAAATGCCATTAAAATCAATGATGATATCCATGATCTCCTGCCAGAGGCCGCTGACCGAGCCCTGGTAGCCTCTGAGCCGCCAGCCCTGGAACAACTGCGGCCGCTGATTGACCTCGTGGAGATGCCGATGGGGCGAATCCTGGGGTATTGGTGGGATAGTAGTGGGATCTCACTAAGTATTATGAATATGGGATAATCAGTGAGTAAGTGGATTTACTGGGAATTAATATGACTATGTGGGATAAGAATGGGGATATACCTGATATAGCAATGTTTTGGGATAGGACGCACACACACACACATATATATATATAATATCCTGTGGTAATTTAAATCATGGCTATGATATAGATGGACCATAGAGTTGGATTACCATTGTAGTGAGAACCCACAATTGGCCCACAAATAAAAGCGAGTCATTGGGATTTTCTGGGTATTGCGCGCTGCGTCCTTGTATGACAACATGTTTTTTCCTCACCGGCCTCCTCTCTTCTCGTATACTTCTATGCCAGCTCGTTGCCGAACCTCATATCGTGAGCTCCAGACGCTGTGGGCTGGGCTGGGCCTGGGCCCGAACAGAGACAATGCCAGATAGAATGTCAGACTAGATGCCAGATAGAATGCCAGAATAGATGCCAGATAGAATGTCAGACTAGATGCCAGATAGAATGCTAGATAGATTGTCAGAATATATATGAATATATATGAATATATATATATATGTATGTATATATATATGCCATGTGAAGTGTAATCCAACACTTACCTGAGACATGTGGCCAGAATCCATCCTTGGGTCGACGGTTTGAGATGAGTTCATGCTGTTGGCCTTTCATGCCCGAAGTGGGCGGGATCACGCGAGACTCTGAGCTACGCCATGTGTGAAAAGGTGCTGGTCGTTGTGGCGTAAGGCACTGCTTCACTTCTCATTTCGTTTGCTTGCTGACTTCGAGTGCATCAAGTATCAAGAGCATCCAATCAACTCTTGTTGTTGGTAGCGAGAGCCCTACGGGGCTGCCGCCTGGGGTGACGGAATGCCACTTGGGTCACAGATGGGTCCAGGGACTGGAAATGGAGCTGCTAGGGCTGCTGCAGACCAGCCATCGGTCAACACCACAAAACTCGACAATCTAGTGCCAACCTTTAGCAATGTGATGGCTGACTACAGGGAATACCGAAAGAGATGTGAGATCTATAAAAAGAAGATGGACATAGGGAATAGAGGCCAGGAAGTTGTTTTCAACTTGGTCACAGTGATGACTGGAAAGTCTTGGGACTTAGTGGAGGACATGACATTAGAACAGATGAGTGCCGAAAATGGCTATGATGCGTTGTTTGCACGACTGGACAAAGGCTTCAAATACGACCCTCTGACTGAACTGCCGGATGATTTTGAGCAATACTTTGTGCGGCTGCAACGGAAACAGAATCAGACACTCCAGGAATACATGAATGACTACACGCGAGCTGAGCGTCGTTTGGAGGTGACGCATTCTGTGAAGCTGCCGGAGAAGGTGCGTGCATGGTGGTTTTTGCGACGTAGCGGAATCACAAAAGAACAGCGCCAACTGATTTTGACGAACACTGGAACAAGCGGCCTAACCATCGAAGATGTCATGAAAGCCATGAGTTTTATCCTAGGACAAGACTCCAAGTTAGACTCTGGAAGATGGAACCGGAATGCAAAGATGTCAGATGCCTACTACCATGACGATGATGAGACACAGTATGACTGGGCCGGACAAGATGACGGTGTGGTCATGGATCCTGCATATTATCAAGATGAATATGCGGGCGAAGATTGGGCCGACAACGGCCAGGACTACTATGGTGAGGAAGCTTACTATGCTGAATCTGGCGAGGCAGTGTATGACGTGGAAGAGTTTGATGAAGTTTTTGCGAACTACCAAGATGCCAAGGCAAAACTGAATGCCCTTCGCACCTCGCGTGGATTTTTCCCTGTGGTTGCGATGATGCCAGATCGTGCTGGAAGTTCCCCTGGAAGTCCTGTGCGTTCCAAAGGACGCGGCCGTGGCAAACCTTTCAAAGGCAAAGGCAAACAGCAGATGCCGAAGGGAAAGCCTCCCAATCCAAAAGCGCGTGCGTCAGCTGCCATGGGATCTGGACGTCAGCTTTGTCTTCGATGCGGCAATGCCGGGCATTGGGCCAGAAATTGTCCCATGCCTCCTGGAAGTGACAAGAAGCGAAAGATCGAAGATGAATCTGGTGTCCACATGGTTGCTGATGCGGACGTGCTAGACCCCAATGAGGTTCCTGTGAATGTCAAAGCTTCTGAATTGATTGCGATTTCCAAGAATGACCAGATTCTTGCTGAGTCTGCCTCCCCACTGAATGCCCAGGTGACTGTGAATGACATGGCCACTGAGGAGACCTTTCACATTGACGGTGACTATGTCAGTGATGATACTGCAATGCAAGATGGAGGTGCAGCGTCAGTTCTGGGTAGTGCATGGCAGATTCGAAAGTATTTGCGTTTTCTTTTGGAGAATGGGTTCAACATCAAAGACATTCCCATGTTCCACTGCGAGAAAGGGTTCAAGTATGGAAACAGCATGAGAGAGATCACCAAGAAATGCATCGTTCTTCCTATTTTTATTGGCCAGAAGCGCATTGACGTGTTGACATACATCATCCGTGGTGAAGCTCCCATCCTGGTTGGAAGACCCCCTTTAGAACGTTTGGGCCTCATGGTGGATTACAAAACCAAGATGATGAAATGGCCAGACAGTGAATGGGAACCACTTCCAATTGGGCCTCGTGGAGAACATCAACTTCACCTTGGAAAAGATGTGCGCCAGTGCCTTGACCAAGAACCTCACATGGTCCTCATTCCTGAAGACACTGAATCTCATGTAGGTGACGCAATCCCTGATGGAATCTCAACATTGTTGGAGGAGGTGCTGACTGCCGAGGATGCATTGGATGCATCACCACCCAGGAATGCAGTCAGTTCGGTTCACACACGCCGTGATGGCGGAATTGAAGATGAGCAGATTGGAGTTGTGAAGCGTCTTCATGGACATGTTCTTCACAAGATGGAAAAGAACGCAGAGCTTGAATGTCAGCGATTGGAGAAGGTGCTCAAGGTTGGTAGTACTCTGACAAAGTCCTCAAAGTCCAGAGTGGTGTGGGAGGTTTTTGTAGGTGAGGGTCGAACCACCAAACACCTCGCCAAGTATCCTCATGTCTACACCGAGATCTTTTCATTGCAGACCGGATGGGATTTTCATTTGCCTGCTCACAGAACTCGTTTTTTGGATCGACTTCGGAAGGAGAAGCCAGATGAAGTCATGATGGCTCCCATGTGTCGTCTTTGGTCGCCACTTCAGGAGCTCAACATGGCACAGTCTGAGGAGTACAAGAACCAACTGATTGAGGACCGACGCTTCAACCATGACACCGTTTTGACCATGTGTTCAGTTGCGTTTCAAGAACAAGAAAGACATCACAGACATGCAACCTTGGAGCATCCATGGCTGAGTAGGGCATGGTCCACACGTGCTTTCAAGTGCTTGGAGGAAATCAGCTTTGATGCGTATGTAGATCAGTGCATGTATGGTCTTGTTCTTCCTGACAAGCATGGACAGACCGGACCAGCCAAGAAACCAACATGCTTTCGAACAACCAAGAAGGAGCTGGCTGATGAGTTGCATCAGTCATGTGATGGCAGTCATGAGCATGTTCCCATAGAAGGAAACGCACCTGGAGGACAAAAGCGTAGTGCTATGGCTGAAAACTATCCTGATCGTCTTGCCAGGAAACTTGCTGAACTTCTCCAACGTCAGCCAACTGGTGACAATATCCATGCCGCTCATGACAACTCTGAAGATGAGGAGATGCCTGACATTGATGCCATCCCACCGGATGTAGAGGTCCCTGCAGAGCACGAGGGTTCTGAAGAGACGGAAGCTCATGACGAAGGCAAGGGCATGGAAGAGTCACATGCTGATGTTGATCCCATTGAGAAGAACGCTCAACTGGCTAAAGAGGTTGGCAAGTCAGCCATGAACTATGTCAGAAGATTGCACAAGAACCTTGGACATCCCTCTGCACATGTGCTGTGCAGAATGCTTGAGGAGGTTCAAGCAACAGAGAATGTTTTGAAAGCAGCTCGAGATTTCATTTGCCCTGAATGTTTTGTGCGCCCAAAGCCTGCTGGAGTGCCACCAGCTGCAGGGCTCACTGCGCGAGTTTTTGGCGAACGTTTGATGGCAGACACTGCTTGGATTGACACAGACGAAGGACGTGTATGTGTAATGACTATGATGGATCAAGCTACGAGATACATTGCCCTGCGAATCATGAAGTCAGAGAAGGCTGTGGACCTTGTGAAGGGCATTGAACGTGGCTGGATCAAACACTTTTCGACACCCAAGTATCTGCGCATTGACGAGGGCAAGGGATGGGCTGCAAACCACCTCCGTGAATGGTGTTCAGAACATAACATAGTGCTTGAAATCTCCCCAGCTGAAGCTCACAATTGGATTGGATCAATTGAGAGAAAGCATCAAGTGGTTCGGAGAAGCTTGGAGCTCTACATGGCAGATCGTGGCAAGAGGGACAAGAAGACACTCCTGGAGGCAGCGATCTACTGCCCAGGGCAGATCAATGCACTGAGCTACACCCGAGGCTTCACTCCAGCTCAGTGGGTGCTTGGTCGCTCTACTTCCGACTCCTTCAGCCTGACCTCCAGCATCTTCAACCCAGCTCTCTCTCCAATGAATGATCCCTTGGACTTCAACCAAGTTCAGTCCAAGCGTCTGTCAGCACAAATGGCCTTTATCAAGGCTGATTCAGATGCGAGATTGAGGAGGGCGATGTTGCAAAACTACAGCAAAGTCAAGCAGCGAATCTCTGTTGGACAGCTATGCTTTTACTGGAGAATTCAAAGAACTGGAATCCTTCAGAAGAACAAGTGGCGTGGTCCGGCAAGATGCGTTGCTGAAGAATGCGATGAAGAAGGGAAGCCCCTGATTTTGTGGCTGTGTCATGGAACTTCCTTGATACGATGTGCTCCTCATCAGGTGAGGCCTATCGTTTCAGATGCTGGCATAGAACGCCCAGTTGATCCACATGCTGCCTTGGCTGACCTCAAGGCACTTCGAGCAAGGAGCACTACTCAATTCCGTGACGTTGTCAGTCCACAAGGCGAAGCCGAACTTGAAGATTTGGCTGATCCATTTGAAATGAGTGATGGATATGAGCCATCTGAGCCAATCGATGACCGTGAGAATCGAGATGGCGATTTGCCTGGTGCTCTTCTTTTTCATCGGCAACAAGGGAATCTTCCTATGTCAGCGAGAACTGATGGTTCACCATCAACAGATGTTCCTGAATGTCCACCACCTGAAGAAGAAGAACACAAGCGAACTCATGAAGATGGCGGTGGCGCTGATGAACCACCCGAAGCAAAGAGACCAAAGACTGGCAACAACATCCCCATTCCTGATGATGACAAGGACTGGCTTGTCATTGATGATGCCTACATTGCTGAAGTGGAAGGAAAGATCCTGCCAGATGATTGGTGCCTGGTCAACGGAGAATTTGAGTTGGACGAGGCCTTCATTGCGAATCTTGGTCACCGAAAATCAGAAGCTCGAGAACGAGACATGTCCTTGGAAGAGAAGGAGCTCATGATTCAAGCGAAACAGAAAGAGCTTCAATCTTTCTTTTCAAATCATGTCTGGGAGTTTGCTGAGCTTGGCAAGCAACATCGAGATCGAATGGTGACAGCCAGGTGGGTTCTCACCTGGAAGCCTCCTGAAGAAGGATCTCTCCAACGCCGTGCCAAGGCACGCCTAGTCCTGAGGGGCTATGAAGACCCCGATGTCTTTGACCTGAACAAGACATCACCCACAGCCAACAAGAACAGCAAGATGCTTGTCTTGGCACTGTCCCCGATTCTCGGGTGGACAGTCTTCTGCGGTGATGTTCGTGCGGCGTTTTTGTCAGGTTCTACGTTTGATCGCATCATCATTGTCAAGTTGCCAAGTGACTGCAGTGCGATGCTCGGCTGTGTCGGACCAACTTTCATGAAGATGAAGAAATCAGCATATGGGCTCAGCGATGCACCACTGCTGTGGTGGACTGAGGCTGACCGAAGGCTGAGATCGCTGAAGCTGGTGCGGCACAGACTGGATAAATGCGCATACATGATCTACAGCAACTATGGCAAGGAGAATCAGAAACTGGTTGGTCTTCTTATTCTTCATGTTGATGATATCCTTTTGGGAATTGACATGCGTGATGCCGAGGCAGTGCAGAAACTGGATGAGATCAAGGGCGCTTTTGATTTTGGCAAGTGGCAGGAGCTAACTGACAAGCAAGACATCATTTACTGTGGTGGGCGCATCAGCCGCAAGGACTCCAATATTTCCTTGGATTTTGAGAGTTACATCAAGAAGGTGATGCCCATTACGATCCATAAAGGTCGAGGCCACGGTGATGTCTTGACACCAGCTGAGGTGTCCAAAGCACGTGCCCTGATTGGCGCACTGCAGTGGCCAGCCGGTCAGGGATGCCCCTATTTGAGTGCATCCACATCCCTGAATGCTGCCAACATCAACAAGGCTACTGTGGAGTTGCTTCTGGAGCTCAACAAAACCCTTCGTTTTGGAAAATCCTGCAGTGACTTCAAGATCAACATGACTCCAGTGTGTGAAGGCATTGATGATTTGTGTTTTCTCTGCTTTTCTGATGCGGCTTTCAATGTGAGGAGCGATGGGAGCTCACAAGGAGGGTATGTGATTGTTTTGACATCCAAGAAAGCTCTGAAAGGTGAACAGGTTGCATACAATTTGTTAAGCTGGCGTTCCTTCAAACTCAACCGTGTTTGCCGCTCAAGTTTGAGCGCGGAGAGCCAGGCTTGTGCAACTGCATTGGATGAGCTGATGATGATCAAGACAATGGTGGCATTGATGCTTGACCCGAACAAAGACCCTCTTTTACCACAAACTGCTGCTGACTGCGGTGAATCTGCAATCATCATTGATGCAAAAGCCTTGTATGACAGCCTGAAGAAAGATGGGATTGGAAGTGCCGCCGACAAACGCGCCGGCATAGAAATCTTGTGCATCAAAGAAGAAATCCAAAGGTTGAAAACATGGTTGAGATGGGTGAGTAGTGAACGAATGCTTGCTGACGGGATGACGAAGATCACAGCCCGCCAGAACATGTATGACATGTTGAAGAGTGGCCTGCTTTGTCTTGTACAAGATGATTCCTTCAAAGCATCCAAGAAAAAGACCAAGACCGAACGACAGACATCAGCTGCAAAGACTTTTGGTTATTCAAGCAGTGTTGCTTCAAGAATCGCCAGTGTCATTGCGCTAGATCATGTCTCCAAAACTGCTGCTACTTCTGACGATGGTGACATGTTGGACAATAGCTATGCGTTTGACTTTGCCCTCATTGTAACCGCCATTGCAATTGTTGTAGGCTTCGTGTTTTTGATGTATGTCATGTACAAGTCTGCGCTTGCATGGTTTCATGATGTGCTTGTTCAGCGCAAGATGTCTAATAGCATCATCGCAACGTGCCGAAATCAGATCAAGGATCTGAAAGAACAGCTAGCAGATGCTCGTGAAAGACTCCAAGTTCAGATTGAAGAAAACGAGCGATTGATTCATGATTTTGACCGACGAGTTGGTCATGCTAGGAGAGATGCTTTGCAATGGGATCGCCAGCTGCTGAGATTGCAAGCTGGAGTGTATCATTTTACTCCACGAGGCCGAAAGGCTCATTTGTTCCGAGAATGTCACACCCTGCAAGGGAGCCAAGAGATTCTTTCAAAGGAAGGCTTGTGTTCTTACTGCTGGGGACGCTTGGTTGAACAAACGACTGGAGAACTGGATATGCAAGATGAAGCGCAAGAGGCCACATGAAATTTCTTTACCCTTTTTCCTCTGTGTGAAGTGTAATCCAACACTTACCTGAGACATGTGGCCAGAATCCATCCTTGGGTCGACGGTTTGAGATGAGTTCATGCTGTTGGCCTTTCATGCCCGAAGTGGGCGGGATCACGCGAGACTCTGAGCTACGCCATGTGTGAAAAGGTGCTGGTCGTTGTGGCGTAAGGCACTGCTTCACTTCTCATTTCGTTTGCTTGCTGACTTCGAGTGCATCAAGTATCAAGAGCATCCAATCAACTCTTGTTGTGCCATAAATTCTTCCGGATGGTATGTCCGAAACTATGTCAGAATAGTGTGTAAGGGTGGGGATCACTCGAAGAAAGAATTTGTTTATATTTTTTAACAATCTAATTTTAATATATGCGTTATAGAAGATGTTCCATAACATTTCTTAAACGCATATTCTGCATAACCCTATGTAGTATACATACTGCGCATAAGCACGGGAGACAAACAGTTCAATTGAATCAAATTATTTAAACGTGCATATTTACAATGGGGATGCGGTCAACCGACAGAGGGATAGGAACCACCTAAAAGGTGCACAGAGCTGGTGCCCAGGAAAGGTTTTGGGACTTCGTCTGCAATATCCAGTATGGGTCAAGAGTCAAGACCAAAGACCTTCCAACCCATTGATTTTTGTTAACTCTTTTAAAGAGAGGTGTTTAGGGACATTATTTAGGGACATTGTGCCCAATCATGACCCATACCCAAGTGTTTCACTGCATTTCAGAGCCATGTTGTATTCAAACTGCATTTGGAGCAAGGCAAGTATAGTGCAGTTGATCAAGGAAGCATTTGGAAGATTAGAATTCTTGACCCAATCGGACCAATTTGTCAAATTCCATCGAATTCCCGACGTCCTTTGCTGTCTACAAACATGAATCTGCGATGTCCGCAGGAAATTGTTTAAGCTCTGTCAGGAGATGCGTGCTCCTGACGACCCCGAGTCTGAAAAGGTGGAAAAGGTGTGAGCCTTTCCCGATGTTCTGAAGTTTGCAAAGATGTCAATCATCAACGATTCGATGCCCCAACGCAGATGTCGGTTTAGTTTTGATGTATTTGATGGATTTCGGGGGTTACAGAAATCATGTGGAGGATTGAGCCTGCGCAGAAATTGCCCCCAAAACATGGGTTGATTGTTGATTCTTGGATTTTTGCATCTGAAAAAACTTGAATGAAACTGTGAGTTGGTTCATGCGATCCGATTTGCGGTCTCCTGGTAGCAATGGGATCGTCCAGGTATGTCGAATGTCTTTGGCCAACGAGCACCTTGCTGCAGAGAAGGCTCCGACAGTACATGGAGCCACTTCAGCAAATCTACATGGAACCCAAGAAAATAGTGGTGGAAGATGATTTAGTAGTTTATCATAGATGCTCAGGGGGGGGCTACCCTAACGGGCCCCCCCCTAAAACAGCCTTATTTCTAGAAATAAGAAAACCACAAAAAACCACCCTAATTCCTTATTTCTATGGCTCAGGTGTCAAGCTTTAGGTTGAGCAGAAATAGGCTTAATTCGGGCTTAATTCTAGGGAATAAGCCCTTATTTCTTCATCGAATCCGAAGATAGACATTGCGAACCGCTATTTCCCTAATTCAGCCTTATTTCGATAAGGTTTTGCGGGGAAAAAGGGTTCAACGACACCCCAGTAAGTATCAAATGAAATCGTTATCAGCACCATAAACTAAGCACTCATTGGCATACAGTTGGAATTCTCAGCCGCTAATTAGGGGGTTCCCTGGACATGAGATTATGAAACACATTTTACTCCGCGGCTATTCACTTCATGTGGTTGGAATAGAGAAATAAGGGATTAAGGTTCAAATCACCGCTATCACCATGAAAAAAAGGATTCCAAGAATATGGCTTCCATTGTTTGTTGATCCCCAAGGTGGAAGTTCCTGTCTTCACAAAGAAATTGAACCCAGGAAATAAGGACATTGGGAATTTCGCAAAATGACATGTTGACATCTACTGCTTATTGGGGAACCGGTTCTCTTTTCCAATGGAAGAGTGAAATACGCTGCCAATTTTGGAGGCCCTTTGGAATGTTCTAATCCCTTATGCACACCCTGAAATCCAAAAAAATGTTCCCCGGGAACTTTTGCGAGGTAACATGGTCATAATGGTTGTTGAAAAGATAAATGCACAGAACCCAGTACATTGAACAATCAAACAGGCCTTCCCTACTAATTACTTTTTCAACCCGGAAATTTTCTGGAACCCCGGTTCACATCCATTCCTGAATTCTGATCTCACATTAAAGATTTCTGCCCCAATAAATTATGTTCATGCCATCACCGACTCAATTCCTGGAACTGGCAAAGGAAAAACAATTTGCAACCATACCAGGTGTTTTCCAGCCGCCGTGTTTGGAAAGTGCTTTGCATCAATAAATTGACAGCAGCAAATCCAGAAATGTAGAACAAACATTCTCAACAACAGGAACGACATTTTTCCAACCAACTGGAATGTTCGAACTGTACCCTGGCTGAGCGGCTGAACCATGTCCTTATTTCTGATTTCCTTCTTTTCTATCTCAAAGTCTTCTGGCTCAAAGGAACATATCAAACACTTGCTTTTCCAACGACCAAACAGAACTCAGAGGAAACCCTTTATTTCCTTATTCCTTTGTTTCTCCCTGATGATTGAGGCAAAAAGAATTTGGGAAATAAGCGTTTTTCATTCGATGAAGAAATAAGCCAGAAACAAGCTTATTTCTTTAATTCGGGTTCATAATTTCTTTCAAGAAATAAGCCAGGAATAAGCTTAATTCAGCCTTATTTCCTTGATTCTAGGAAATAAGAGAAATAAGCCTGGAATAAGGCCTTATTCCGGATCTATTTCCTTATTTTGGCCTTACTTCCCGAAGGGGGGCCCCGTTAGGGTAGCCCCCCCCCCTGAGCATCTATGAGTTTACCCTTGGAGACTTGCATTTGTGAAGGCTCTATCTTGAGTGTTATGTTCGGTATATGCGACCAACTATGAGTGTCATGAAACATTGCTTGTCTTCAAGAGTTCGAGATACATGGTTATAAAATGTTATAAAATGTTTTAAAATGTTATAAAATGTGTTAAAATGTTTTAAAATGTTATAAAGCGGTTGGTTTCTTCTACTCATGGTATTAGAACACACCAAACGTTCACATATCATCGGCTAGGTAGGTCTGGGATAGGTGTAGGACTCTTACGTTGCATGTTCGCACTTTGATTTCTTATTTATTCTTTATTTATTTGATCAGACAGATTCACACCTGGAGTGATCACCAAGGATGCCAGTCCGATCGTTGGCCATTTTGGCGCGAAGTACGTGATCAGCTCCAGGCATCATCTCTCTCGAAAAGAGATCATTTGAGGGCCTGGGAGCTCGTTCACTTAAATAGCTTTGATCATGAGTTTTCCCCTACTTACCCTGCTCCTTCGTCGTTGCGGCGCCAGCAAGCCATGGCAGCAGCTCGTTCAGCTGAAGGAGTGCGCCCAGAAGACAGCGCATCAATGGTAGGCTCCACGGTGGGATCTCATGGGTCTTGGAGTGTGGTGGTCAATGAGCAGACCAATGTGGCTCCACCAGCCGGTCAAGGGGCGCCCATGCAGTTCCCAACACCAAAGGCTCCTCCTCCTGGCTTTAGACCTGAGGACAAGCAAGCGGCTCCGGCAACTGAGGCTGACCCTGAACTGACTCAGAATGTGCCGCCACATGATCCCCAGCTCTGGGCGGGAGTGTTTGATCCACCCTCAACGGTGCCTGCAGCTCCTGCCACCCAAGCAGCCAAAGCTCTTTGGGACAATGCTCAACAACAGGCGCAACGGTTGGCCAAGCAGAAAGCTCAAGCCAAACGCCGTGGACAGAGAGGGATCCGTTGGGGGCAGATGCCAGGGCTGAATGCTCAAAACTTCCAGCTCCCGAATTTCATTCAGCAGCTTGGGGCTCGTGAGAATGAGCGGTCAGTTCTGGTGATCGACAGCCGCGACAAAAGGATCCAATCCCCATTTCAGGGGTGGCTTCTGGACGAGATCCTCCTCAACGCTCAGTCTGGGGTGAATGTCTTGTCAGACAGCCAGTTGGTTCGATCGCCTAGCACGGGCTATCACATGAACCTCTTTTACGCGAGGATCCTCGACGGCTTCAAGCTCATTTTGGTGGGGACTATGACGTCCTATGGCACGGTTCCTGCTGCCAGATGGGACGAAGCCACCAGCAAGGTGCTCAACCACAAGGCCTTTCAACCGTTCAGATGGCTCATGATGTCAAACGAGGCATCCACGTGGGTCGATGTGAAGGTCAAAGTGGAAGGGGATTTGCTCTTGCACCTTGAGCTCCGTGGATACCGCTCGGACCAAGATATGTCGGTCCAGCTCAACTACATCAATGATGTGATGGTCGCAAACTTCAGGGACACGCTCTTCGTGCCGTCCTGCGTGGTCACGATCTTTCAAGGATGGCGAGTTGTGGCTACTTCGTTCGAAGTGGGCGGGCGCTTGTATGCGTGCTCAGAAGGTGGCATGGTGGCAGCTCTTGATTTTCCACTATGTCACTTTGAGGTGCGCATGACAGCTCTGTCCTCTGCCGACTCGATCGGAATGGACGCCGACAGGCTGGAGTTCAGATTTCGATCGTCCGGGGACAAGCTGGACGTGGCTTGTTCACAGGCTGTGGTGCCTTCCACGTGGCTCGTGGTGTCACGGGTGTCAGGACCCACGCTCATCAAGAATGCTCATTGGTGCCGTGATCATCATGCTCGCATCGAGGGCCCAGACCAGACTCTTCAGCTCTCGCAACTGGCAGGTGTTCACGCCCATTGGACTGCAACGATCGAGGCAGGAGCTCTGGAGGAAACTGGCCCGAGGATCAGTGCAGTGGCGGTGGAATCCCATCCAGCCAATGTTCATTTGACGTGTGAGGCTCCGCTCTTCAGGGCTCCCAAAGCGATTGTGCCAGTGGAGTCGTTGGCTCTGCAATGTCATGATCAACAGTTGGAGCAAGAGATGCTGGTGCTCCCTCCTGTGCATGGTGGTCCATCAGTGGTGCCTGCAGCTCAGGCGACTTGCAGCCAACGTGCTCTTGCTGGGCCTTCAAATCCAGCGCTGGTGGCGGCTCCACGTGGGACAGCTGCAGTGTCTGTCACAGAGCCCGGACAAGCTCCTGGGGCGCAAGAAGTGGCTGGTGGCTCGATCTTAGTTCAAAGGCGCTCTTTGGGGGCTCGTGCAGCTGAAAACCTTTCTGGGGCTGCTGTGACCCCTCAGACGTTTCTTGATCGAGTTCAAGGTGCTCGTGACAGCCAAGACCCTCACTATGTTCCAAGTCATCCTGTCAGCTACGGCCCTGCTCCGGTGATTGAAGAAGTCACGGACTGCTGATTTTTAGGATGGTCTTCATTTTGTTCAATTGAAATTCACCGGGAAGGTGCTGGAATGTTCCAGGTGGATGTTAAGCAAGATTGCTTTCCGATCGGCAGGAAAACCAGTGCTCATGTCAGCCGCTGGAAGTTGGCACGGGAAGTGCAACTTGAAAGGGGTTGTGCATGAGACGGTTTCCTTTTTATTTTTGGTTGTTCAACTTGTTTACAATTTGGCATGTGCTGCTCTTTTAATTTGCCACGTTCAATGTCAGCAAGTTGAGCGATCTTTTATTTGTAAGGGGTCTCACAACCCACATGTTCATGTGTTCATTCTGACCCTGCTCAGGCGATCACCTCAGCGGGAGGGGTGTTGTGGGACCTCAGATCGGACTGGACGTAGGATTGTGCTGACTGGCATAGGGCGATCGCCCACGAAGTTAGCCATCCTTCTCTGTCTGATCTGTTATATTTAAAGTTCATTAAGTCTTATGATATTGGCATGTTCATGTCTTGCGTGTGCTCATAGGATCTTTCATTGTGGTTTGATCAGGTTTTTGTTTTTCGCAAGGTTCTTTTTTTTGGGGGGGGTTTTGTTAGGCTTCTTAGGTCGCCCCACCCATCACATGTTCTGTTTGATCTAAGCCACCAAGTCGCTCGGACAGTGTGACCATGGCTCAGTCTCAGGATAGGTGGGCTTCTAAGATCCTAGCTCTCCCAATTTTCTCAGATGAGTTTGCCCAGGCGATTTTGCGCTCGCCATACTCGAACCTGGCGCTGATCGCCGCAATGGAGGTGCACTCTGCTGGTGAGTTCGTGGTGAGAGTTCATGAGTGGTCTTCGTCGGTTCCTGAAGACTCGAGAGATGCACTGCTCATGAACGGGTTCATGCTGGAGCAATACTGGAGTTTGGCTAGTTCTATTGAAAAAGCTTTCTTTGAATCTACAG